AAGAGGGTAGATTTAGACTACACATAAGGGTAAAATTCTTTACAGTGAGGGGGGTGAAGCACTGGAACAGGTTGCCCAGAGAGGTGGTGGAAGCCCCATCCCTGGAGGCATTCAAGGTCAGGCTGGATGGGGCTCTGAGCAACCTTATCTAGTTGGCCATGTCCCTGCTCACCACAGGGGGGTTGGACTAGATGACCTCTAAAGGTCCCTTCCAGCCCAAATGATTCTATGCTTTGTGTTTTAATTTCCCTCTTAATTACCTTAAAGATATGTTCTTTGTCCCTTCTATTTGGCCACCAGGAAGTGTAAATAGATTTGCTGTGAATAAGTTGGATTGAGTGATAATTTTTTTTCTTTCAGTTTTTATAAGCACATTTCTTGACATGCATTTGACATGTGTTTACCTTTTTTTACTGAAATAAGTTAAATAAGGCAGCGTTTAATCAAAGTACTGTGCTAGAATGTCTTAAAAGTGGACTGTACTACAAAATACTAACCCAAATCTAAATTTCAGGAAAGCCAGATACAGAAGTGAAAGAAGATGAAGAATACAAACGTGTTGATTTTAGTAAAGTTCCAAAGCTGAAAGCTGTTTTCCAAAAAGAAAATGGTAAATATTGTTAAATTAACTGCTTCATTTTCTACCAAGTGCAAGGATACTTTGTTACAGTGAAGGGCACTGTTCACAGGAGCTGGAATGCCCAACAGTAGGCCATTAACTTTTAAAGATTTGCTAAGAGAAAGAAATGTGCTCACAACAGCATGAACTGGCTTGGGCTGACAGATGGTCCAAGCACCTGAAACCAGTGACGTCCTCTCTTTTGGACATTTACGTTAAAAAGACTGCGACAGATTGGTTTCAGTTTAGCTGTTGCCTCGGTCTCCAGCATATATAAGCTCTTGTTTCCATGGGAGCTGGAATGCATTTACGGAGTTAGCTGTCACTGCCCTGGATCTGTAACTGGTAAATCTTCCTGGCTAAATCGAAGTCCCCACTCGTTCACAACCGTTTTGGAGCTGGAATTCTGTGTTAATACCAGCAGTGCAGCTGACGGGGAAGTTGTGGTCTAAACCATTTAGCTAAAGATCCAAGTACACGTGATTGTACTTGTTTAATCAAACCCATTAAAAAAGACAACTCATTTTTAGTTAATTCAGTGCAACTGAGTTAAAGTATTGTTGAGACCTTACGTTTGAGGGCCTAAGGTAAAAAAAAAAGTCATTAACAGGATATACCTGAGCTGTATCACACTTTGCCCTCTGCTAAACCAACACTTCACCTTTTCTAGGAACGGTTACAGCTGCTAATGCCAGTACTCTGAATGATGGAGCGGCTGCTTTGGTGCTGATGACTGCAGAGGCAGCCAAGAGACTGAAAGTCAAACCATTGGCACGGATAGTAGGTAAGATTTTTCTTTTCTTATCTTGGAGCACAGTCCTGGAAACTACTCCCATGGTATGTGCTCCGATGCGGAGTCCTGTTTGGCCGGGTAGGTGACGGTCACGGGACAGAAAAGCTCAGCCCTTAGGCATTATGGTTGCATCATCTCAATACAGCACTTGAAATTTCAAGTGTTGTACCAGCAGGCTTTTGATCATAAACAGTTTTCTATATGGAATAATATTAAAAATATGAAAACGTTATGACATGGCTCACTTAAGGCACTAAATTTTAGATGTATCTCTTTCACGGACCATTATAATCAGAATCATTCTGTCCTGGCTGGGTTTGCTGCTCGTACAAATAAAAATCACATATGGTAAAAACAAAAGGTCTTTAAACAGCTTTTGTGATTTTTACAGCTTTTGCAGATGCTGCTGTTGATCCCATTGACTTCCCAATTGCACCTGCCCATGCTGTTCCCAAGGTAGGAAAAAATTTTTTTTTTTTTTTTTTTTTTTTTGGCAAAACAACAAACTTCCCTAGCACTGGATTGTTGGTTCATCCCTTAGTGGAACTTCCTGTAATCAGGATCACAATTATAATTACTTCAGAAATACAAAGAACACCTGTTTTTCAGCAGATCAAGGTTAGAACGCAGTTTTCAGAGTAACAAATTTCTCACACCTATTTTGAAAGAGAATATTGTTTTATACTGCCTGGGGCTTGTTTACACTTGTGAAGCTTTAGCAGCTAGTACGGCTAAAAGGCAAACCAAATCTGGTTATAGACGTATAGACTAGTTCAAAAAGGAACTGAAGACAAGTGTATGGCATGAGGCAATATTGTATCAGTTTCAGTGTACTTACTGTAGCAGTGGTCTTAGTCTAACTGCAGTGAACATGTATTCTTGGCATAGGGTACTCTCCATTTCTTCTTTGTGACAACCCAAGTTTGTGCTTCAGGACCTCAATTTTGCTTTTTCCCATCTGACAAAGGGGTTCCGAAATGGCAACCTGAATCTCTTGCTTGGGTTACTGTAGGAACTATGGGCAACCTAAGTCACCGACTTCAAAACAGACTTGGTTATTTCTGTATTCAGCTTCCTAATTTTTTTCATAGTAGTAATTATTACTATTATTTCTAGATTCTAAGTGAGACAGGCCTCAAAAAAGAAGATATTGCAATGTGGGAAATCAACGAAGCGTTCAGTGTTGTGGTGCTCGCCAATATTAAAATGCTGGGTATTGATCCACAAAAAGTAAATATTAACGGAGGTGCTGTCTCTCTTGGACATCCGATAGGGTAAGTACGTAAAAACGAGCACTGGGTTTTGTTCTGCACAGAGGCATTGCTTTCTGGGCATGCTGCTAATACTTTATTCTCAAATTGAACGCGAATAGGAAGGGTAATAGACATTTGCTTATCAAGTACATAGTGACTTAATTCAGGTGTGACATTTCAGGGTACCTTGAAAAGAGCACAGTCCTGTTCTTCTCTTCACAGTTAGTTATCACCTACTTTGATAAAGAGCTTGCTTGTTCCCACAACTATATGGATTCATGAAGTATTAAACCCAAATTACTATTAACAACACAGAATAAACAGTAAGAACAAACCAAGCAGTTAAGCTAAAAAAAGGTACAGGTAAACTTATGAAAATAGCAAAAGTTATGGTACCGGGACTTCTATTTTTCTTACACCAGCAAAGTGAAATTCCAGATCTTGCCAAAGCATTTTTGGGAGTGAATCCAAAAGTCTCTGAGCACCTAAGGCAGCAGTCAGGGACAGGCTGGGGGATGGTGGAGGGTCTTTTCCTTGAAGTTCTGTCATCTGGATCACCTGCTGTGTTCCCCAACGGCTGGAACTTACTCATGACTGAAGTAGATCCCTCTCATCCTCCCCAAGGGTGATCACGCTGCCCCATCCAGGTTTATGAGGAAAAAAATCCATTTCAAATCCTCTAGCTAGGTACTGACGAGAAGTAACCGTGTGGTACATCAGCAACAAGTAGGAGTGCTTACTCCATGGTTCGTCAGTTCACTAGCAAAGCTGCAATCAAGGCATAATCCCTCAAGATGTGCTGGTGTCTCCTTTGTAATATCAGCACGTATCATAGAAAAATATGAATTTTTGTGTGTCTTAAAAGCTAATTAATTTCAACAGTCTAATGACAGAATTTAAATGACTGATTTTTGCACACGAGGTAGACCGAAGCAGCATACTGCAGTATATCCTGCAGCAAAAGAAGAAACTATTTGAAATGCTTTGTTACCATCGAGTGGGTTTTTTACCATAAATGTTACCTTCTTTGAAAGAGCTTTGCTACACGTACAGCTAGTGTGTAATAATACAGAGACTTACTTAGAGGTGATTGCCCTTCCCACAAGAAACTTTAAATAAACGTGGAGTTTTTGCTTGTGTATGTATGAGAATCTTTCTGCTTATTAAGTGCTGTAGAGGTTTGTGGGTTTGGTTTTTTTTTTTTCCCCTGCTCCCGTGAATTCAGTACTCTATTCTGCCAGCTATCCCGCATGGGTCAAATAAAGGATATTCTTAAAGCTATGTACATTTTTTGTTTTCTTTCATTTAGAATGTCTGGAGCAAGAATTGTTGTTCACATGGCCCACGCGTTGAAACAAGGACAGTATGGTCTTGCAGGAATCTGCAATGGAGGCGGAGGTGCTTCTGCAATCTTGGTCGAGAAGCTCTAGGCCCATGTGGCGTTGGAAAGAAAGCCTTACGCCTTCTCTGATCAAAGTGAGGAGTGGTACCTGTTACATCTTATTTATCAGTAAGTGGGTGAATTCCTTAACTGCTATTCTGCAATTTCTTACAACAGCATTGATTATTGATACACACAACTGGGCTTTTATTACTTTGACTTAGTGCAAGTTTTTATACAGGACAAATAAACCCCATCAAATTACGGTGATGTCTTGAGACCTGACAATAAACAATGTTTGTTAACTGTGGCTCCTCTGTCACTGACGCCTGGTTTCTCAAATGCCACTGAAAATGAATTCTCTTGGTAACTCACATAGTGCTGCTACTACAAGCAGAACTAGTTTCTCAAGTTTAGTTGCTTCATTTTCTGTTTTAAAGTTACTAAGTGATTTTCATGGAAGAAATAACTTTACTCAATGGTTGGTTTTCTGTTCCTGAGTACCTCGAAGCCAGGTCAAATGCAAAAGAGGAGCCCTGCTGTAGCACTCACTCCCCTGGCTTGGCCTGTAGTATCAAAGCAAAATAGGAGATGGTGGTGTAACTTACACACAACACAAGTAGTAGCATGGCCTCAACATGCTGCTGCTCCTTTTTTTATTCATTTAAACCTCCGTGCTGTACAGTTTTGTTGGTGTGCTTTGAAGCAGAGGCAGATAGGGGAGTGAAAGAGCACAATTATTGTTACTGCTGCTTCCCTGGGCACTGCCCCACCCCGGCTGTGCTCGTGCGTTCACAGTTCAGTCTTCGGGAACAGCGCGTGAAGTGTTCGTCCTGCAAGTCGGGGGGACAGGAAGATACCTCCCTGGAATGAACCTTGCTCCAGCCTTCAGTCAGAGGTTCATCCAGTTGCTTTGGCAGGCTTTGTACCAGAGGGCAAAAACTGCTGCTTTCACCAGTAGAAAGTCTGTCCCCACCTCACCCTTTTCACAAGGGCTAAATGTCACACACTTTGAACTTTCTTAGCTGGGAGTTAGGACAGCTGCTGTCTTATTTTGACATTAGTTTCAACAGAAAGTCATCTTTACCCTTAGAGTTTCTTCCCTAAAGTAGGGGGAATAAATGCTTTGACTGGGATGTAATGGGATCTGTTTTTTTTCTGGGAAGGAATGTACTTGTAGAGGCAGTAAAGGAGCAGTGGGGTTTAAAACAAAAAGAAGAAAACGAACCGTCCTTCATGCTCCGCCACCTGTTCTTCTGAACATGACTTGCCATGTGATAGCAGCTTGGAACAGAAGATGTTTTCTTCCTTTTGAAGCAGAAACAAACTGATAATTCACATCTTTCTTTCTCAATTTGGGTGATCCAGTAATACCAAAGACTATGATGGGTAGTGGCTGTCCTACAAAAGTGCTACACTACATCTCAGTTAAATCGCAAATCTATTTAAAAATACCACGTATCAACTTGCAGAATACTAGTAAGCATTTTATGCTTAAGATAACTGGGGTTTGCTTGCCTGCCCTAGCCCCTCTGACAAGTGCTGTTAGAACTTAGTGTTTGATACTGAAGTCCTTGTCTTCAAAAATGACCAATCAACGCGACTTCTCTATACAATAGCCACAAAGCTGCTTAATGGACTTCCAAAATATTGAGCAAGACACACGACTTTTTTTTATTAAACCAAAAATATTTATTCAAGCTGTAAACGCTATGCAGTATTTAGTTATTGGATGGGTTTAATATAAACATCTACTGCATAATATTGGTTCCTTAGGAATCCTTGGATACTATATCTGAAACATTGCCCTGTTGCTGTACAGATCTCGTACAAGAAAACTTGTATGTTTTTAAGACTTCAACAATTTGAGAACAAAGGAGGAAATGCCAGTAGAGAAAATTCTGCAGTATTGGAGCAAAGCTCAGTGTGGTAATTTTCACCCATGCTAATTATTACTAAAATGTAGGCTGAGCTGCTCCTGTGCCTGCTTAGAAGAGAGTTTGTATAACAGCGATGACAAATTCTACATTAAATGGAAAGATTTTTCCATTTCCAAAAATTTTTCCATGTAAGTGATACTAACAAACGCTTTCTCAACAGTACAAATGACAGTTAAAAGAATTTACTTTTGCAATAGAACATGCTGAAACTCTTGTCTGGCTGTTGCTACAAGTTTGTCTCCATACCGGAGTTAACCCACAACAAAGGACGGTGTTTGAAAACAGCTTTTGCATTCAACCGACGTCGTACGTGGCAAATACTGTGAGCAGCTGAGGCCGTGCCAAATTAAAGTTCTTACCTGAATGGCTGGTTGGGAAAAGCTTCGTTAGATGAGAATGAGGTTTGGAGGTTTCGTTAGCCTGACGGTATTTCTGTTAACTCATTCAAAAGCCTTACAACGTGGGTTTGACAGTTAGGAGAGAAGAGAGTGTCAGTACAAACCAGTCACAGCTGAAGATCAAGTCCTTTTTGGATTCAACAAGACAATGGGAAGCGGCCGCGTTAGCTGCCCGCATCTCAGAATGGTGAACTACAACCACCGCCTTCAAATTCGCCACCTCTTCACGAATTGGCTGTGCGGTTCAGATGGGTGAGTAGAGAATGCAGCAGAACACAGACAACGTGGTGTAACACGCAACATACAACTTTTCTCACATTTATACAAATTTACAATTTTGCAAATTAAATGGCTCTGTAATTATGCAAGTGCTTCTTCAAAAATAAACATATCCCAACTCAATGATATTTACACTTAGCAACCTGCTTCCGAAACAGCATGATTTTGCTATAAAGTGAAACTTCAGTGCACTGAAAGTGCAACTCACCCTTTAGAATTAACTTCTCCCATCCAAAACCTCAGCATACCACCACCCGGCTTTAGACAGGCACAGTTTAACTCCTTTTTTTTGTTTGTTTTTTTCATTCATCATAATGCAAAGACAACAAGAACTTGTCCACATCCATTCC